AAGTGATTTAAAACCTTTGTTTATATTTCAGTAACTTCAGTAACTTTTGTATTATAAATAAAATTAACATATATATATTCCGGAGTACAAAAACTATATACCGTTACCAAATTTATTTTCTAATTATCATCTAAACAAAAATAATTTTTTTTTCTTTATTTATTCATTTTGCTAAATTACATGTAGAACTAACTGTAAATACGAAATAGTTTTAGTTTCGCACCTAATATTCCATTTAGCAACTTCTGTTTCAACAATATAATTATCAAGGTAATAAATATTAAGGTGTATTATCCTCCCCGGCTGATTTAGTACAGCGGGATAAATTCCCAAAGAAATAATAACGATAACTGTTCATTTGACTTATAAGGGCTTCAATAAATAAATTAAAAAATTTAATATATTTTTTTTTTCTAAATAAAATTTAATAAGATAACAAAAAAAAAAATCTATGTTTCGTTAGCTAAAGTCGATCAAAATTTTTATCATAAAATGAGCGTTCCATCAAATATGTAAAATTTTATAATACATCAACACGTTATTATTCATGTAACAAAGTCGAGTCGGAGGATAATATTATACAAGTAAATAAATTCAGAATTTAAAATGCTTTTCTAAACAATATAGAATTATCTCATCAGTTAATTTCCAGGAAATCCTTGTTGCCTTATTACGGCGTGGATCAACTTTTCAATTAAACGACGTGCATAAAAATCATTTACTGCGCTAAGAGTAATATTTATTTAGATAAAATAACGTCGTCTGATTTCTAGCCACACAAAATATTTTTGTTGAATTGTGATGCTCTATTAAGGAAAAGTATTTGTTCGTTGCAAAATGCATTTAGCAAATAAATAAAAAAAAATATATATAATTCGTTTATTTGTGTTTATTTGTGTAATAGTTGTAGATCAGTACAACCAAATTATTCAGGTGTAACATTAAATGCAAGGTTTTTACTTTTAATAGAATATTATTATTTATTCGAATCTCAGAAAAAGAAATTTACTGTCTTATTTGGTATAATAAGTAATACTCTTAAAAATTAAAAAGTTTTCATCTGAGAAAATTTTTTTCATTTCAACGCATTATGACTTCTACTAGTAGAGAGTTAGTTCTCGCTGCATATGTTAGAACGTTTGCACTGATAGATTCTATCATAGGAGATGACATTGACGAACGACATGAGCAAAGAAAACAAATCATTAATCAAGAAGAGTCCCTTACAAAAGAGGAAAAATTGGAAGCAATCAAAATGTTAGACGAGGCGAATGATTATGATAAAGTTTATTCAGAGTTTGGGATAAAAAGGTTATGCGAAAATTGTCAATCGGAATGCTTTGCTACAACATTTTGTGAACTTTGCGTACGAAATTATTTAATAGCAAATTTTTCAAAATGGACATCTGAAAATAAAGAAATTGATGATTTGATAAAAAAATGTCAAAAAGAATCACTTGTTCCCTATCAAATAGTCGAATGGATTCCATACGAGAATTTTCATGACGTAAAATATTTAACTAAAGGTGGATGCTCTGAAATTTATGTTGCAGATTGGGTTAATGGACGGTATGATAGATGGGATTTTGAAGAAAAACAATTAAAAAGATCCGGAACAAGAAATGTGATACTCAAAAAGTTGGAAAATATTGAAAGTGCTAGTAGAAGTTGGTTTGAAGAGGTTAGTAATTTCATGTTAAAAATCTTTTTTAATATATAAATGGTAACTAATTAGAGAGAATTTTAAATAGGTGAAATCTCATTTAACTATGGGCAATATGTATCCAGGAATTGTTCTTTGTTTTGGTTTAACACAAGATCCAACAGATAGAAACTATTGGCTTGTAATGGATAAATTGGAGATAGACTTGAGAAAATATTTGAATGAAAATTATGATCAACTTAAATGGAAGGAAAGGATCGAAATTAGTGTCGCTATCATTGAAGCACTTGAAAAAATACACGTAGCTGAAAATGCAATTCATAGAGATTTACACTCGGGAAATGTATTATTTTCAAAATATTCTAATACATGGTATATTAGTGACCTTGGATTTTGTGGTCCTATTCATAAGCCATTAGGTAGTATATACGGAAATCTTCCCTATATAGATCCTCAGGTCATCGTCGGTAAAGAATATACTTGTGCATCAGATATTTATAGTGTTGGTATGCTTATGTGGGAAATTTCATCCGGGCAACCACCTTTTGTTGGATTTGATCAAGATTATTACCTTACCTTTAAAATTTTAGATGGAATGAGACCGAATATATTACCAGGAACTCCTTTGGAATATAAAAACTTGATGGAACAATGTTGGGACGCTGATCCATCAAAGAGACCTGATATTACTACTCTTGGAATGAAAATTACGGAAATACAAAAATCATATTATCAACATGAAAATGATACTAATAATGAAATTAATAATTTGCAATTTAATACTGATATTAGCGCAACTTCTAATACTGTTATATCATTAGTTAGAAACTTTAGTAAAGTTCATATCTTTGAAGATTTGCCTGAACCGAGAAATGCTTCTAAAGGTGAGTTGATTAATTGATATTATTTATTTTAACATATTATCTCATTAACGTATTTATTTATCGTTAATAGAAGAACAAGAAGGTAATTATTTAAGAAATAAAAATTTCATTAATTTATTAATATTTATTATAAAATAATATTTTATAAAGATTATTACAGTATTCAACTTCAAAAAATATTAAGTTCAAAAATTATGATTGATAATGAAGAGGATAGTCAGAATAATGAAACTTTAGGTAATAATTCATTACATTATTTAATTTTACTTTTTCAAATTTTTAATTATAAATTAGATTAATTTTTCTAATATTAAAAATTCTTAGAATATTGTAGGATTCATACTTTATATCAACCTGAACAGACTGATTCTACTAAATTAATCGGTATGATTAATTATTAATTAAATTATGAAACTATTTAAAATATAATTACTTATAATTTAATAATTTGTAGATAAAAGTATTGAAAAAGGAAAATCTAAAAGAAGTTATTCAAATGGTATTAATTATTTTTCTTGTATTTATTTGTTGGTTTTAATAAACATTTAATATTTTTTTTTATTATTATTATTTTATCCAAAAGATGAAACTGATGACTTCAACAATAGTTCTAAGAAAATAAAGCAATAATCAGTAATCATAATAATATATTAAAGCAAGAATTACAATTTATATATTAAATTTCATGTTAATGCACCGTATTTATGTAAATTATGTAATAAAAATTTATTAATTAACTTAATATATCCAGATTTTTTATTACGAATAATTATAAAAAATAAATTAGCACCTGAGTTTAGTATATCATAATTTATTCGTCATTCGACAAATATTCGTTCTAATTCCAGCTGAATTAAGTTTCTGGCCAGAAAGAATAATTTTCGTCATATCTGGAAAAATTAATAATACATCCTAAAGAAATTAACGTTACTAAGAAAATGAGTTGTCGGCAAGTGGAAAGAACATTTAAAATAAAAAGCCGGTCTTACAAACCTCATGAGTTCATCTTGAAGTAGGTGAACTTCAAGCTAGCTTCAGCCAAATAACTAATGTTCGAAGGTACGAAATACATTGTTCTGGTCACAACATCGGCACCAAGGTAAAGTATAGAGAATCCCGATGTTAAAACAATTGAATATTGTAGTTATGGTGGAAGGTATCAAAATATTAGATTGGAACAGAAGTTTAATTTATGCTTAACTTTGCTTGAGTAATCATTAAAAGTCTTTTTGCTGGGTTTGAGCAATTGTTTATTTCATGATTTGTGTAAGCTTTGTATCCTAAAGTCTGTTGATCGAATTTGAAAAATTCAAAATCTCGTTTTCATCACTCATCTTTGTGGTTGATGCTAAACAAGATTTAACTAACCAAATTATCTAATTATTTAAAATATCTCCTAAAATAATCGAATCTTTAATAACTCTTCTACGAGTAATGTAATTGATGAGGTAGATAATATGGTTGTTTCTGTCATATTATTCGTTCGTATTTTTGTATGTATTCTAAACTTGTTTTCATGTATAAGATTGTCAGATGAATAAACAATTTGTAGAATACTATGTAAATCATATGAATCATATAAGAAGAACATATTTTCTTTCTAAATAACAAATTAGGATAAATTATTCAGTAAATTTCGATGCTGAATATTTTCCTGATATGCATTTAAAATTTTATTAAAAGATTTTGAAAATCAAGTGTTGTGGAATACGTTTGCTGCCTCTTGTTCATGTGAAGGCAGGCCATGAACATTTAAGAATGCGATCGAAAAATTTGTAAGAAAATACTTTGAAATATTCCAACTAAAGAGCAAATATTATACACAATGGACGAGAAACATTTAAAGTGTTTGTATTTTGATAGTCGAAATTCGGATACCGTGCTTTATGTACCTAAAAAGTACTACAGTTCACAATGAAAACAGCAAGAACAAAATAATTAATAAATATTGTTTCTACGAATGTTATTTAGAAAGTAAGGTTACGGGTCATACTTTAGTAACTTGATTTTGAATGATTTATATAACAGTTCAATTAATACAATTCACTTATGTAGTTAATTATCAAAATCAAAACCATGAAAGGTAATTACAAGAATTTTATTAAATGAAGGGATTTTATAATTTTATCCTCAAGCCTTAACCTTTAAACTCCGAAACTCTTTTGATAACGGACTATTTATATAAATTTCTTATAATGATAAATAATGAAAATAATGAATAATAAAATAAACTAAATAATAATAAATAATGAAAAGTTGATAAAATATAACATACATAAAATGTAAGAGAAATTAGGCGATAAGTTGTCATTATATTTGACAAAGTATTGCGTCACATAGAGCACATCAAATAGTTCCAGTAGGAGGATGATATTTGCAATTAATGGAATAGTCACCGCAGTCACACCATGCGCTCGGCCAGGAATTCTCGATTTTGCTAACATCATGTCCAACGTGATTTGATCCAGCGAAGCAACGATCACAAATGACATTATCAGAGCGAATAAAACAAGTACTATACCGACAAAGTAGGAATGAATATTGACGATAAAAAAATTTTAGCTTACAACCGAAATCGGTTTAAATATGAAAGAATATTATTATGAGCAACCGCAAATATTACCTGCAATGATAATATACTTCTCCAACAGCGATTTTCTTTCCACAATAGGAAGGTCCACCTATTTGTGTATCCGATGGGTGATACTTGCAATTGAGTTGAAACTTCCAATAATTTATATTATCGCAATTACACTTCACGATCTCGTTAGAATTCATAATTGTATAGATAATGTCATGCCCAATATGATTTGTTCCATTATAGCAACGATAGCAGAGAACAGAATCATCACGAGTAGCGCACGTCCTACAATGATATGCAATTGTAAAATTGTAACGAAAAATCTTCATACATAGTCAAAATTTGTCATACTTACTTGCATATGTAATATTTTTCCCCAAGTACCAAATTATCGTGGCATGTCCGACTCTGAGGGGATAATTCTGTTGGCTTTAATAGGTAATTGAAATGTTAGACAATTTAAATAGACCTTACGAAAAGGAATCAACGACAACGTATAATTTACATTTGATGTTGGTAATTGTGGTTTAGGTTTTTGATTGTGGTTTCCGGGATTCGGTTTAAGATCTTTAACCGCATCCATATAAGGTAAAATTTCTGTTTGAGCTTGAATCAAAGCTTCATCCAGTTCTTTGAATTTACTAGAAATCTAAATTTAAATATCAAACACCTAATGAATTGACAGTTTCACTTCACTTTGGACAATGCATGACTTACCTCATCCAACTTAAAACTATTTAAAAAATCTCCAATACACTGCTTCCGGAAATTCAATAGAAAAGTGCGACTTTCATCTAATGCTCGCATCAAATTCTCGGTATTTTTCTCGTCAAATGGATTATCACTAATAACGTGATAGGCACGAGCATCGAGGGCCTCATAAATTGAAATCAAGCGGCTCCGCAATTCGTTGCATTGGTCGTAGTTTTTTGATGACTCTTCAGCGATATTTATTACCTCCATGAACTTGATTACTATGACTTCATCCCACATATTCGTTGCCATGATGAAGGATATCTATTAAATTCAACTCGGTTGGGATGAAGTTCAAAAGAAAGATAGTTTAAATGAGTTTGACCAAAAACGGAGAATTAAATTCATTATGTGGATCTGCAAATGTAGTGCAACGTATACTTATTTTCAATCTAAATGTAATACAGCATATCATTGTTTGTCCATTAATGTACAATAGTCATGTAGTTTACCCTGATGTGCAAAGTTTCAGTTGTAACAATAAGACTTGGAATAAGATTTGCAACCAATACAATAAAATTAATATTCTACACTAACCTCTTCGTGTTTTTGCATAAGTGAATTGTATTAATTGTTTATTTAATATAAAATACATTCATTTTTGTTAGGTTATGTTGAATATTTTTTGAACTGTTTTATCGAATAATGATCAGATAAATTAAAATTAAACATTTATTAAAAATAATTCTTATTTTTATACTACCAAATCAACAACAAAAATATTTAAAAAAAAATGAGACCTCTCTTTAAAAAAATAAAAGCTAAATACAAAGAAGTACTAATAAAAAGGACTACTATTTCCAAAGATTTAAATAAAAAAAAAAAATAGTTAGAAATGTGTTAGCTGATAGTGCTCCGAGCAAATCGAGTCGACCCGGGTTGTTTGACTCGACTCGAATTTTTTCTCGAATCGGGACTCATTTTTATGACACGATTCAAAAAAACCCGGTCACGTTTTTGCTTGACTCGAGTCGACCGGGTGATCCGGATGATCAATTAACAATCGAAACCCGTTAATAATGATAGAACCCGAATTCGACTCAACCCATTATTGTTTAACCCGGATTCGACTCGAATTTTCAAGGGTAACATTAATGTCGAAAATAAAAAAAATGTCATAAAGATTTTTTTTTAAAAAAGATTTATTATTTATTTTGTGAGCATTATTCCTATTTTTATTTTACATCTTTTTGCACTAGGATTTCAAGCACAAGCACATACAGGAGCGAATTGCATTAGCTTAAAGACCACGTCTTTTGGTTTTATCAGATCGGTTCCGAAGCGCTTTGTTATGCAAGTTGTTGCGATAAAAAGCTCAATGATTAATATTGGGCTATAGCGTTACATTAAATACGCCAATATGCTATTTTGATTTTATGCAATAAAGACTTTAACATTATAGTCGTAGTAAATTAACTAGTTTATGTTGCCCTTGCTTTATCATATTCCGTGCTAGCGAATTTACCTCCTGTTCATGGTTATATTCGGTTGTAATTCCTGGATTAATTTATTATAGGAAAAAACATCTAGCATCTTAAAAATGGTATTAATACTTTATTTTGGTGATCAAAGGTAACTAGAAATGGATACAATACGATGAATTATACAATTTAACGATTAAACGGGTAATTAGTAAATCAAAAAATAAACCAAATAGATAAATATGTTAATTTATGATGATGTGTAGCAGCAATTTTATTAAAAAGCGGCGTTATCCAAACTTTATAAAACTTAACAATTCGCGGTTCAAAAAAAAAAAAAGACCTCATCCTGTTCTTTTTTCTTAAACGATTTGTTTTACCTTTATTAATTCACAAATGAAATATTTATTTCAGAAGAAAGAGATGTTGGAAACGTTCCAAAATTTGGAAGAAACAAAGTCCTTTCTTTCAATGGCAATTGTATTGTTTTACAAAATGTACTAGCGATGAAGATCACGACATCAAATAACCATTGGACAATTCAATAAATTGAATGTTTGAGAATAATATTCAATACGATACTTTTTTTGTAAAGAGGATCAAGTGTAATTAAATAGTATTATGCTCGAAATACTTATATTTAAATATGATTTATTTTTCTTTTATTATTTTATTTCTTTTTCTTTATTTCTTTATTTCTTTTTTTTTTTTTGACCATTAAAAAATCTTTTCTTCAAATCTTTTGATCAATTTTCTTAATCAAAATATTTCAATTTTGCAATGTTCTCTACTATTTCTGACGTTCAATTTTTGTCACCTCAACTACTACAACGTAGAACTACTGCAGAAATATGTACACAAAATTTTTCCTCACTTCCAAACGACTCATATGCGATGTCATCAAATCAAGATTACAAAGATTCTAAAATACAGTCTTCAGCTAGCTCAACTCCAATAATTACTACTTCAACAGAATCAAAAGAACAAAATGATACTATACAACGTTCCACAGAATTACAATTTATGGAACAACAATTAATCATGTCCGACCAGCAATCCACTTCATCTTCTTCGGAACAAGTTGTTCCAATCCTTCCCAACGATAAAGGTTCTCGAACGGATTTCGATCATATACCTAACGAATCCTACGCAAACATTAATATGGAAACCGTTAACCCGCACCCGCATTCATTGAATTATGATGAGAATCAAATGCGACTATTATCATTAGAACGACAGAAACAAATTTATTTCGTTCCATCACAGTATGATTATGATGGTATAAAGTACATCATAGATCAAACGATATCATGACAGTTCCTTCATATTTTAACAACATGTATGATGTTGCTCATCAGGATGATGTGAGAACCGTTGGGATTGATGCCGATGAATTCTTTACCTTTACGTAACCAACCTGTGGAGGGTGGGGATTCTAAAGAAAAAGGAAACGTGTGTTTAATAAATTTTAAAAATTCTACCATCTTATAATATTCTTGTAATTTTTTTTAGAAATTTAGCAAAGTAATAAATTTTTTTTATAAAGAATGAATGGGTTATAGTTTATTATTTAATGAAGAATGATTTTACATTACAAATTGCAAACGCTTGATAGCTTTTTTTCGTGAAACATTATCCTTGATATGCATTTGTCAATTAACCACTTAAAAAGATGTATATACAATTTTTATGAATTCCTACCAATTCCATAAAACTAGAAGCACAACTATTAAATTAATGTGACCTTCTATTTCTGAAAATTGGATCACGACCAATTCTTTTGATGATCCATTCCATATATATTAAGATCGGAGTCCAACAGGTGAGACCAGAGAAGAAAATCTTTCGATTTTTCAATGGGACAGCCCCCTCCAACCATAAATATGAAAATATTTCACATAATCGGTGGGCGGAATCCACCTACAAGACGAAGCATACGCACCTCAAAATAAAAAATGATTTTGAATTCTCAAACCTCGCAGAACAACCAAATAAAAAATAATTTACTATCAATGTGATCTTTGGATT